AACAGAGACTTGGTGTACACCAGCCCAAGGATGTAACAGAGACTTGGTGTACACCAGCCCAAGGATGTAACAGAGACTTGGTGTACACCAGCCCAAGGATGTAACAGAGACTTGGTGTACACCAGCCCAAGGATGTAACAGAGACTTGGTGTACACCAGCCCAAGGATGTAACAGAGACTTGGTGTACACCAGCCCAAGGATGTAACAGAGACTTGGTGTACACCAGCCCAAGGATGTAATAAAAAGAGGCTCTAACACACACTGGGCTGGCTCGGACTAAGAAAACGACATCTTTTTGGGGACAAAACTCCCACTGGGGTTTAGAATGCTATGGCTGTTATGGGGCGAGATACAATTAAAATACCAACAATATTAGGAAACATAAAATGTAAAAATGTAGTTATTTAAGCCGTGTAAATATGAAGATTTATGATGAGATTGTACTCTCATACAGTATATATAAGCCTATGTAACATGTGACCCTATACGTGACCGGTCCTTGAACTGGGCCTACTGCCCACTCAGAAACCACTGTCCCCGGTGGGCCACCAAGGCTGCATAGACAACAGGACTTTGACTAGCCAAACACTGGTTAAGCAAACAACACCATGAAGGCTGCGTGTTTCACTATCAGTCATTAACCACTCCTGTCGAAATGTGTCCATCTCAGTAGTTACAAATCTAATATTTCAATAGCCTATCTCATCGAAACACATTTGCATCTACAGTATAAAGATAATGATGCTTGGTGAGCCAGCAGCATAGCCTGGTAGACCAGACTGAATGCTGCACTCACAATGGCTCAATCTGGTTTAACCAGGCTAGAGCCAGCAAGCTCTCTGACCAACTATAGGAGAATGATCAAAATTAACTTTCAAAAAGTACATTTTCTATTACAGCTTGCTTGATCAAACAAGGTTTCCTCTTTGACCTAGTGACCCTAGTCCACTCAGTCTGCAGCCTTAATGGAGGCTAGGACCATAGTGATCATAGCTATATTATATGACTGGGACTGAACTGTCAGAGGGAATGACATTTAGAGAAGCAGGAAGGAAAAATAAAGAGTTTAAAAAGTATGGCTCACAGCCAGATGGAGGAGAGGGAAGGTAAATCTCATACACACACACATTTACATACACAATGTCACACACACAGGTTTGACCAGTTCCTCATGGATTGGAACTGTTATGCTATATTTCCGAGCATCTAGTAAAGCAACAATAATGAGTATTAATAACTGGAGTGAAGGAAGATTTTGGCAGTATGTGCAGCTCAGAGTCTCTGAAGCTAACAGCTGTAGAAAAAAAAACTAGCAACCATTTCATTTCACTTGGAAGTATGATGTCATGATTTGAAGAATGCCAACATATTTAACTAGATTACTGAGGTATTGACGTCTTTGTCCTCTCTCTGTCCTACCATTATTATTATTTGATTTTTTTATTTAAGTCAGTTAAGAACAAATTCTTATTTATAATGATGGCCAAACCCGGACGATGCTGGGCCAATTGTGCGCCGCCCTATGGGACTCCCAATCACGGCCGGGTTGTGATACAGCCTGGAATGGAACCAGGGTCTGTAGTAATTGAGATGCAGTGCCTTAGACTGCTGCGCCGCTCGGGAGCGCCTGTCCCCATTAGGTCTAGGCTGTGTCCCAAATGCCACTCTATTCCCTTTATAGTGCGGTACTTTTGACCAGTGACCATAGGGCTCTGGTCAAAAGCGGTGCACTATATAGGGAATAGTGTGGCATTTGGGACACCCTTTAACCTTTCTGTCGCGCGGAAAATGTAATCTCAAGGAGGTAAGTGGTCCGTTTAACATTTATGAACCGTAACAGCAACTGCAATTTAATGAATTTCTCTACTAGAGTGAAAATCTCCATGAGGCAGTATCTGGTTATTACCGTGACGACGTATGACCCCAACAACCAGTATGTTGTCATCTTAAGATAAGAAGCAGCAAACTCATCAACAAAGAGTCATCAGTTTGATGTGGACCAATGGGAATCAGGCTGAAAAAAGGACCTAGCCAATGAGGGCATGCATGTAATGGCAATCATTCTCTGGTCTGTGGACCAATGCCCAAACACACACACACACACACACACACACACACACACAGCAAAAACTATGGCCTTTCGATTCAAAATTAAGCTCAATGCCCTTAATGTAGATTTGGATTGTTTGCTAAAAAAACCTGGCAGACTAAAGGTTATTCTTCTTTCCAAATTTCACTTAAGTTGAATTTTCACTTAGTCATCCATTGACGTCAATGGGAGTCAAAGTGGACGTTAGGATTCACCCCCATGGGAATAACAAGATCCCAATGCCGTTAGGATTCACCCCCATGGGAATAACAAGATCCCAATGCCGTTAGGATTCACCCCCATGGGAATAACAAGATCCCAATGCCGTTAGGATTCACCCCCATGGGAATAACAAGATCCCAATGCCGTTGTAAGAGAAAGATGGTAAAAACAAATAAAAAACGTTTGAAACTTAAAACAATAAAAACAAATCTGCAGAGTAAATTTTAAAAAAAATTGCAAAACTTCTCAGAGGTCTATTTACATTAAAGTATCCACAATTGTGTATGAAAAAGATCTGATTCACTTAAAGTCGTAGAAATGTGACTGTTAAAAAAATAGATCAGGTCTGGCACTCTCTATCTGTAGCTCCGCCATGGCACAGGTTATATTTGGAATAACTGCATAAGTACGTACAGTACCAGTCAAAAGTTTGGACAAACCTACTCATTCAAGGGTTTTTCTTTACTTTTTGTTTTACTTTTTTGGGGGGGTGTGGGGGGGGGGGGGGGGGGGGGGGTAGATCAGCTTAATATTGCAGATAGATTGTAACTTCCATCAATGTAATTGTCTGCATCACTTCCAATCCCCCATGTTTTTTATATATATACTCCCCTTTATTCCTTTTCAACCCCGCCATCCTTTCCCTACTTGGGGTAAATTAGTGAACAACAATTCCCTCTACTTCCAGCCTATACTTACTATCTACACCTTATGGACACAGTCAATTTTACAATAATTCTATTTGATTTGTTTTTGCTCCTGAACTTCTTCTACTCTCAACCTCTCCGATCATTTTCATGATGTCCATATCTTTCAAACTGTGCTCTTTCCCAAAAGCTCCCAACATACAACCTATATACTTATTATGGACACAGTATGCATACATTATTAGTTATCTTGTTATTATTTGTTGTTATTTGTTATTAGTCCCATCCTTCAACTCCATTCAATACCTCCCATCTATCTCTTAACACCATCCATATAGGATTTCTATTTGCCATATATATTTCAACCGTACTGTGATGTTTTACAAAAGTTCTGAACCTTTCTATTCTCATTGCTTCTACAGATTGTGAATTAAAAATAAACATTTTTGCTAAAAGTATTATTATATTATTGATCGATTGACTATGACTTTTCAGATCACCCAGTAATGCTATCTGCAAGGTTAGCTCCAGGTAAATATTGCAATCCTTTAGCCATTCCTGGACCTGTGTCCAAAAACAAGCTACAAATGGACAGAACCTTTACTTTTACTATTTTCTACTTTGTAGAATAATAGTGAAGACATCAAAACTATGAAATAACACACATGGAATCATGTAGTAACCAAAAAAGTGTTAAATAAATCAAAATATATCTTATATTTGAGATTCTTCAAAGTAGCCACCCTTAACCATGATGACAGCTTTGCACACTCTTGGCATTCTCTCAACCAGCTTCACCTGGAATGCTTTTCCTACAGTCTTGAAGGAGTTCCCACATATGCTGAGCACTTGCACTTGTTGGCTGCTTTTCCTTCACTCTGCGGTCCAACTCATCCCAAACCATCTCAATTGGGTTGAGGTCGGGTGATTGTGGAGCCCAGGTCATTTGATGCAGCCCTCCATCACTCTCCTTCTTGGTCAAATAGCCCTTACACAGCCTGGAGGTGTGTTTTGGGTCAATGTCCTGTTGAAAAACAAATGATAGTCCCACTAAGCGCAAACCAGATGGAATGGCGTATCGCTGCAGAATGCTGTGGTAGCCAAGCTGGTTAAGTGTGCCTTGAATTCTAAATAAATCACATACAGCGTCACCAGCAAAGCACCCCCACACCATCACACCTCCTCCTCCATGCTTCACAGTGGGAACCACACATGCCAAAAACCAAAAATCTCAAATTTGGACTCATCAGACCAAGGGACAGATTTCCACCATTCTGATGTCCATTGCTCGTGTTTCATGGCCCAAGCAAGTCTCTTCGTATTATTGTTATCCTTTAGTAGTGGTTTCTTTGCAGCAATTCGACCATGAAGGCCTGATTCACGCAGTCTCCTCTGAACAGTTGTTGAGATGTGTCTGTTACTTGAACTCTGTGAAGCATTTACTTGGGCTGCAATCTGAGGTGCAGTTAACTCTAATGAACTTATCCTCTGCAGCAGAGGTAACTTTGGGTCTTCCTTTCCTGTGCCGGTCCTCATGAGAGCCAGATTCATCATAGCGCTTGATGGTTTTTGCGACTGCACTTGAAGAAACGTTCAAAGTTGTTGAAATGTTCAGGATTGACTGACCTTCATGTTTAAAGTAATGACGGACTGTCATTTCTCTTTGCTTATTTGAGCTGTTCTTGTCATAATATGGACTTGGTCTTTTACCAAATAGGGCAATCTTCTGTATACCACCCCTACCTTGTCACAACACAACTGATTGGCTGAAACACATTAAGAAGGAAAGAAATTCCACAAATTAACTTTTAACAAGGCACACCTGTTAATTGAAATTCATTCCAGGTGACTACCTCATGAAGCTGGTTGAGAGAATGCCAAGAGTGTGTAAAGCTGTCATCAAGGCGAAAGGAGGCTACTTTGAAGAATCTCAAATATAAAAAATATTTTGATTTGTTTAACACTTTTTTGGTTACTACATGATTCCATAGTTTTGATGTCTTCACTATTATTCTACAATGTAGAAAATAGAAAAAAATAAAGAAAAACCCTGGAATTAGTAGGTGTGTCCAAACCTTTGACTGGTACTGTATGTGGTTGAGGTGACTTCGTTTTAGTGGCTTTTCCCAGGGGGTATCACCATTGAAACCTATAGTATAATACAAAACTGAAACAGATATGTGTTCTTCCTTGATCGATCATAAACAAAATAAATTGAGACTTGTAAAATGTAACTGCAATAAGTTGTCATAATAACTGAAATCTTTCAAATGTCCTATATTATGCCCTAGATCTATATAATGAAACACCTACAGACAGAAAATAACATGAAATAAAGTGTGAGATGCTTGTGGTCTAGAAAGAGAAGTACAAAGTACTCCATTCAATTACTCTAATACTATTTATCCTTCTGAATAATCTGTCATTTAAAAACCAACTGAAGTATATTAAAACATTTACATACTCTGATTACAGACGCTACAGAATTTTAAAATATATATTTTCAGGCGGCTGGCTCTTACGGCAAATACTTAGCGTGCATTCACATTTTAAAGTCTAAAACCATTTTAGATGAGCTTAAAGACACAGGGAAAGAGAGCACTGTTTTGGATTGTGTGATGCCCAGGTCCTATGATAATGCCAATTGTCTCTCTCTTTGTTCAAGGAGGTTGATCAGCGATGTGTTCCTCCTTTGCTTCAGAGGGCAAAAAAAACCTTCTTCCCCTCTCTCCGTAGACCACAGGGACCACTATAAGGAACTAATGGCGTTCTGAGAGGAGGGGGGTTCCTATAGACAGGAGGGGTCTTCCTATAGAAACTGTGTCAGAGGTTAAGAGGTACATCAGCAGGTAGTCCGTGGTTAGGGGCCGGGGGTCAGGGGCCGGGGAAGGCAGGAGGTGCAGGGACGGACAGATCTGGTGAATATAATCCCTGAGAGAAGGAAGAAGGAAAGGAAAAACATGAGAAGATGCCCGCGGTTTCAATCAAGGATCTGTGTGTGTGTGTGTGAATGTGTGTGTGTGTCTCCCCTCTCATACCTTTGTGTAGTGCTACTCAGATGTGTGTCTCCACGTCAGTGTATCCAGGCAGCATGTCTCCGTTAGAGCAGGCCAAGGGGCCCCCTGCCGGGGGCTGCATGTGATCCGTGCTGGGGTCCTCGGGCCCTGCACCCTGGCCCTCAAAGGCTCTCTGCTGCCGCCGGTGTATCAGGGGCACAAAGAACAGCACCATGCCCCCCACGATGGGAGGGCCCCCTGCCAGGTAGAAGGCCATGTTGTAATCACCACAGTAGTCACGCAGGAGTCCTGGGGGACAAGGGAGGGAGAGGTTTCAGATGTAGTGTATAGAACCACTACTCGTTATTCAAGATAGAATCACTGTGTGAATCTCAATTGTATTTCCTTGATTCCTCGTGTCCACTCAACGCCTCTTTCTCAAAATTCATTGGTGAAGAAGATTTGAGGGGAGGAGCTTTAGATCTTTTGCTCCAATGTGCTTTGAGATTCACCCACTATCTTGGTGATTCAAGTAGTTTTACCTATTTGTCTGTTTTACTTCAAGGAACTAGCTCAGAACTAATAATTAGCAGTCATAAAAATGTCTAAGAAGATAAGAAATAGTTTATTAGTCTGGAGGGCTGTCAGATGGTACAGCATCAGCAGTCAGGCATCAGCTAAGGGCATGTCTTTGCTTTATTATTATTATAGGGTAACCATAGAAACCATGAGCAACACTAAATTGGGGAACATTTTGTTAAAATGTTCCTCAGTAAAGTGTGTCTAGTGTATGTCCAGGGTGATGGGCAACACTGGCCAAAATATTCAGTCAGGAGCTAGCTAAGTGGCCCTGCCATAAACAAGAACTGAAAACGAGATAGATAACTCCTCCAACATCTGGCACTAAGCAGAGAGAGAGAGAGATTCAGCCAGGCCTCACAGGACACAATGTCAATACAGAACACTGAGGCTATGAGAAGGAGGACGAGCCGGGACACAGCAGAGTAGCAGAGCCCCATAAATGCAGCCATAATGTCAACAACCCATCGCTAAACTATCTGCTATCTGAGACTACTCCTCCCTCTGTATCTTATTCCCTATGTAACAAATCACCAGCCCTGGAACTCAGCCACTTTAATCAGTGTCCGTCCCAAATTTCACCCTATTCCCTATATAGTGCACTACTTTTGACTAGAGCTTTATGGGCCCTGGTAGAAAGTACTGCACTATAAAGGGAATAAGGTGCCATTTGAGATGAAGCCTCACTCTATTTACTCTATAGACCAGCTACATTTAGAGCTAAAACCAATGACGTACAGTTGAAGTCAGAAGTTTACATACACCTTAGCCAAATACATTTAAACTCAGTTTTTCACTATTCCTGACATTTACTCCTAGTAAACATTCCCTGTCTTAGGTCAGTTAGGATCACCACTTTATTTTAAGAATGTAAAGAATAATAGCAGAGAGAATGATTTATTTAAGCTTTTATTTCTTTCATCACATTCCCTGTGGGTCAGAAGATTACATACACTCAATTAGTATTTGGTAGCATCGCCTTTAAACTGTTTAACTTGGGTCAAACGTTTCAGGTAGCCTTCCACAAGCTTCCCACAATAAGTTGGGTGAATTTTGGCCCATTCCTCCTGACAGAGCTGGTGTAACAGAGTCAGGTTTGTAGGCCTCCTTGCTCGCACACGCTTTTTCAGTTCTGCCCACACATTTTCTATAGGATTGAGGTCAGGGCTTTGTGATGGCCACTCCAATACGTTGACTTTGTTGTCCTTAAGCCATTTTGCCACAACTTTGGAAGTATGCTTGGGGTCATTGTCCATTTGGAAGACCCATTTGCGACCAAGCTTTAACTTCCTGACTGATGTCTTGAGATGTTGCTTCAATATATCCACATAATTTTCCTTCCTCATGATACCATATATTTTGTGAAGTGCACCAGTCCCTCCTGCAGCAAAGCACCCCCACAGCATGATGCTGCCACCCCCGTGCATCATGGTTGGGATGGTGTTCTTCAGCTTGCAAGCACCCCCTTTTTCCTCCAAACATAATGATGATCATTATGGCCAAACAGTTCTATTTTTGTTTCATCAGACCAGAGGACATTTCTCCAAAAAGTAAGATCTTTGTCCCCATGTGCAGTTGCAAACCGTAGTCTGGCTTTTTTATGGCAGTTTTGGAGCAGTGGCTTCTTCCTTGCTGAGCGGCCTTTCAGGTTATGTAGATATAGGACTCGTTTTACTGTGGATATAGATACTTTTGTACCTGTTTCCTCCAGCATCTTCACAAGGTCCTTTGCTGTTGTTCTGGGATTGATTTGCACTTTTCGCACCAAAGTACGTTAATCTCTAGGAGACAGAACGCGTCTCCTTCCTGAGCGGGATGATGGCTGCGTGGTCCCATGGTGTTTATACTTGCATACTATTGTTTGTACAGATGAACGTGGTACCTTCAGGCGTTTGGAAATTGCTCCCAAGGATGAACCAGACTTGTGTAGGTCTACCATTTTCTTTCTGAGGTCTTGGCTGATTTCTTTTGATTTTCCCATGATGTCAAGCAAAGAGGCACTAAGTTTGAAGGTAGGCCTTGAAATACATCCACAGGTACACCTCCAATTGACTCAAATGATGTCAATTAGCCAATCAGAAGCTTCTAAAGCCATGACATCATTTTCTGGAATTTGCCAAGCTGTTTAAAGGCACAGTCAACTTAGTGTATGTACACTTTTGACCCACTGGAATTGTGATACAGTGAATTATAAGTGAAATAATCTGTCTATAAACAATTGTTGGAAAAATTACTTGTGTCATGCACAAAGTAGATGTCCTAACCGACTTGCCAAAACTATAGTTTGTTAACAAGAAATTTGTGGAGTGGTTGAAAAACTAGTTTTAATGACTCTAACCTAAGTGTATGTAAACCTCTGACTTCAACTGTACATAAACACAGTGAATATACGTATGTTCATGGCTGAGACATGTCAGCTCAACGGCATGATCAACACAAAATACATTATCCTAATCCTACCCTGTTTATAATTCCCTATGGAATGTGGCTATCCTCAAAGGACTTATATGGTACTACTATGCTAGCTACAGACTTGACTTTTCTCGATTGGAAGGAATAGGTTCCTGTTGAAGAGAATCTAACCATCTTTTTATCACCTTGGCTTCCACTCCAAAGTTTTGAGGTGATACTCAGCAGCAATTGCCTGTCACATAGAAGTCAACCATCTCTTTCTCACCTGCCATTCAAAATCTTTGAGGTCAGTGTTTAGTAACCTGAGGAACCGATAGTACTCACCAGCGATGGGGGGTCCTGCAGTCATGGGCAGGGCCATGAGTCCCAGTAGGTATCCTATAGCCTGGGAGGCCTGCATGGGGCCCACCAGCTCAAAGGCTATAGGAGCCATGATTGTGATGAAGCAGCCGTCGCACAGCCCCAGGAACACACACACCACAATCAGCCCCTCGAACACCGTGCACTGGGGGATCATCATGGACATCAGCCCCAGCACCATGAACGACACCGACTGGGGGAGAGGAGAGCAGAGACAATAAACATAGAATAATGAATGCCATTTAGCAGACACTTTTCTCCAAAGTGACTTGCAGTACAGTGGTGCGGGCATACATTTTAATTTGGGTGGCGTTGTGTAACGTGTCGGAGAGAGGAGACTTAGGTTAATGTCCAATACATCTCTCCAGACTAATATGTCCAATACATCTCTCCAGACTAATATGTCCAATAGATCTCTCCAGACTGATTTGTCCAATACATCTCTCCAGACTATGTCCAATACATCTCTCCAGATTAATATGGCAAAAACTGTCATGGTCAAAACATATTGATACAACAGACTAGGATGTCTGTCTAATAAGCGCTGCCTGCTCCTTACGCACTATGGCAGTCCTACAGGCAGTTTTTCCACCCGACTAATGTTCGTGTGCTGGTCAGGTGCACAAGAGGACTTAAATGCATGGTTCAGAACAGGGCAGCACGGCTGGCCCTTGGATGTACACAGAGAGCTAACATTAATAATATGCATGTCAATCTGTCCTGACTCAAAGTGGAGGAGAGATTGACTTCATCACTACTTGTTTTTGTGAGAGGTATTGACATGTTGAATGCACCGAGCTGTCTGTTTAAACTACTAGCACACAGCTCGGACACCAATGCATACCCCACAATACATGCCACCAGAGGTCTCTTCACAGTCCCCAAGTCCAGAACAGACTATGGGAGACGCACAGTACTACATAGAGCCATGACTACATGGAACTCTATTCCACATCAAGTAACTCAAGCCAGCAGTAAAATTAGATTTAATAAACAGATAAAAAGCACCTTATGGAACAGCGGGGACTGTGAAGCAACACAAACATAGACATATGCATACAAACACAAGATAACATACGCACTATACACACATGTACACATGGATTTTGTGTTCTAGATATGTGGTAGTAGAGTAGAGGCCTGAGGGCACACACTTAATATGTTGTAAAATCTGTTATGAATGTATTGTAATGTTTTTAAAATGTATAACTGCCTTAATTTTGCTGGACCCCAGGAAGTGTAGCTGCTGCCCTGGCAGGAACTAATGGGGATCCATAATAAATACAAATACATCTCTCCAGACTAATATGTCCAATACATCTCTCCAGACTAATATATCCAATACATCTCTCCAGACTAATATGTCCAATACATCTCTCCAGACTAATATATCCAATACATCTCTCCAGACTAATATGTCCAATACATCTCTCCAAACTAATATATCCAATACATCTCTCCAGACTAATATATCCAATACATCTCTCCAGACTAATATATCCAATACATCTCTCCAGTCTAATATGTCCAATACATCTCTCCAGACTAATATATCCAATACATCTCTCCAGACTAATATGTCCAATACATCTCTCCAGACTAATATGTCCAATACATCTCTCCAGACTAATATATCCAATACATCTCTCCAGACTAATATGTCCAATACATCTCTCCAGACTAATATGTCCAATACATCTCTCCAGACTAATACCTTTTCCCTTATATACTCTTTCACTTCATACAGAAACAACAAAGCAACTGACCAACATGGCAACCAACTTGGGTCAAATCCATGTCAAATACTTTCAACCAATTCCATTAGTTCCATTTTACCAGGTAAACTAAATGAAGCGCAGCAAGTATTTTACCTATGTATTTGAAATAGTAATAGATTTGAAGTATGTAGTAGCCTCACCATTCATGGGAAAAACTAAGGGGATGTGGCTGACGTGCTAACCGATATTTAAAATCTAAATTGGTTCAAATTAGGCTGACAATGGGATGCTGAAGAGGGTTTCCTCACCTGCATCCAGATCTTCTTGGCTCCGGGAATGAGGTCTCCTACTTTCCCGAAGAGGAGGCGTCCCACGCCAGATGAGGCTCCTATACACACCAACAAGATCCACTCCTTCTGGGTCTCCTTGAACTGCTCCTTCACAAAGTTAATCTGGTGGAAAAGAAGAAGAGGAATACTTTAATGTCCATTTCCTTTTCAGATGACGGAAATGTGTCTTGTTGCTGTCAAACCAAGCCCCCTGGAAACACACACCCTGAGGGGTTGGAAGCAGCCAAACCAAGCCCCCTGGAAACACACACCCTGAGGGTTGGAAGCAGCCAAACCAAGCCCCCTGGAAACACACACCCTGAGGGGTTGGAAGCAGCCAAACCAAGCCCCCTGGAAACACACACCCTGAGGGGTTGGAAGCAGCCAAACCAAGCCCCCTGGAAACACACACCCTGAGGGGTTGGAAGCAGCCAAACCAAGCCCCCTGGAAACACACACCCTGAGGGGTTGGAAGCAGCCAAACCAAGCCCCATGGAAACACACACCCTGAGGGGTTGGAAGCAGCCAAACAAAATAGCCAAAGAAAACACAGAATTACACCTCAAAGGCGTAGTAATTTCTTGATATGTCGTCATTTTTTCATGCGTGTTATTCCCATGTTGAAATCACCTTGCATAGAGGACATTGATTTCAATGGGATTCTTGGTGAAGGGATTTCAATGGAGAAACAGGGATTATTTTCTCCTTATAACATTCTTCCATAAACATTCCTTGGAATAACAAATGTTTTCATCCACGTCCCCCTGTCAGAAGACCTGTCAACAGTGAAGCTGGAAGTGGCGGAGCTATAGGTGAGTGATTTCCCTTCTCTCCTCTCCGCCCCACTCCTGAATCTGATCCAAAACACAAAACCCTCTGAAGTTCTTTCCTAACCAGAAGCTTCTCTCCCCTCAAGTTCATGTGAAATGTTTCCTCTGCTTTGATACTGCACTACATGGCACCAGAATAACATCAAGGGCCATAGGATACCCATGTTTAGGGCTGACCTAAAGCAAAGAGCTTCCTGAGTCAGTTTAGCAGCATGGGCGCTTACACAACAAAAGCCGGTGGCTTTGTTTACATCTGGGCCTGGCTCTGGAGCCTGAGAAAACAGGACAGGCAGTGGGGAGGCTGCCTTAAACATCTGATATGTGCAGCAGAACTTCACATCTCCCCCTTCTCTTCCCTCCCTCTCTGTCCCTCCCTCCCTCTCTCTTTCTACTTCTTCCCTCCTGCTCTGTCCCTCCCCCCTCTTGTTCTACTCCTTCCCTCCCTCTCTGTCCCTCCCCCCTCTCTCATTCTACTCCTTCCCTCCCTCTCTGTCCCGCCCCCCTCTCTTGTTCTACTCCTTCCCTCCCTCTGTCCCTCCTCCCCTCTCGTTCTACTCCTTCCTTCCCTCCCTCTCTTGTTCTACTCCTTCCCTCCCTCTCTGTCCCTCCCCCCCTCTCTCGTTCTACTCCTTCCCTCCCTCTCTGTCCCTCCCCCCTCTAAAGTTCTACTCCTTCCTTCCCTCCCTCTCTCGTTCTACTCCTTCCCTCCCTCTCTGTCGCTCCCCCCTCTCTCGTTCTACTCACGTCATTCCCTCCCTCTCTCTGTCCCTCTCCCCTCCCTCTTTTCCACTTCTTCCCCTCCCTCTGTCCCCCCCCCCTCTCATTCTACTCTTCCTTTCCCTCCCTCTGTCCCTCCCCCTCTCTCTCCGTTCTACCTCCTTCCCTCCCTCTCTGTCCCTCCTCCCTCCCTCCCCTCTCCTTTCTACTTCTTCCCTCCTGCTCTGTCCCTCCCCCCTCTCTCGTTCTACTCCTCCCTCCCTCTCTGTCCCCTCCCTCCCTGTCTCTTTCCACTTCTTCCCTCCCTCTCTCTCTGTCCCTCCCCCCTCTCTCGTTCTACTCCTTCCCTCCCTTTCTGTCCCTTCCCCCTCTCTCGTTCTAACTCCGTTCCCTCCCTCTCTGTCCCTCCCTCCCTCTCTCTTTTCCACTTCTTCCCTCCCTCTCTCTCTGTCCCTCCCCCCCTCTCTCGTTCTACTCCTTCCCTCTCTCTCTGTCCCTCCCCCCTCTCTCGTTCTACTCCTTCCCTCCCTCTCTGTCCCTCCCCCCTCTCTCGTTCTACTCCTTCCCTCCCTCTCTGTCCCTCCCCCCTCTCTCGTTCTACTCCTTCCTTCCCTCCCTCTCTCGTTCTACTCCTTCCCTCCCTCTCTGTCCCTCCCTCCCTCCCTCCCTCCCTCCCTCTCTCTCTTTCCACTTCTTCCCTCCCTCTCTGTCCCTCCCTCCCTCTCTCGTTCTACTCCTTCCCTCCCTCTCTGTCCCTCCCTCCCTCTCTCTTTCTACTTCTTCCCTCCCTCTCTCTCTGTCCCTCTCCCCCTCTCTCGTTCTACTCCTTCCCTCCCTCTCTGTCCCTCCCCCCTCTCTCGTTCTACTCCTTCCTTCCCTCCCTCTCTCGTTCTACTCCTTCCCTCCCTCTCTGTTCCCTCCCCCCTCTCTCGTTCTACTCCTTCCCTCCCCTCTCTGATTCTCCCCCCTCTCTCGTTCTAACTCCTTCCTTCCCTCCCTCTCTCGTTCTACTCCTTCCCTCCCTCTCTGTCCCTCCCTCCCTCCCTCTCTCTCTCTCTTTCCACTTCTTCCCTCCGTCTCTGTCCCTCCCCCCTCTCTCGTTCTACTCCTTCCCTCCCCCCTCTCTCGTTCTACTCCTTCCCTCCCTCTCTGTCCCTCCCCCCTCTCTCGTTCTACTCCTTCCCTCCCCCTCTGTCCCTCCCCTCTCTCTCGTTCTACTCCTTCCCTCCCTCTCTCGTTCTACTCCTTCCCTCCCTCTCTGTCCCTCCCTACCTCTCTTGTTCTACTCCTTCCTTCCCTCCCTCTCTGTCCCTCCCCCCTCTCTCGTTCTACTCCTTCCCTCCCTCCCTCTCTCGTTCTACTCCTTCCCTCCCTCTCTGTCCCTCCCTCCCTCTCTCGTTCTACTCCTTCCCACCCTCTCTCTTTCTACTTCTTCCCTCCCTCTCTCTCACGTTCTACTCCTTCCCTCCAGTGATGCCAACTTAGCAATTTTGTTGCTAGATTTAGCAACTTTTCAGACTACCCTGGCAACTTTATTTTCAAACAGCACCTAGCAACAAATTTAGCTACTTTAAAAAATATATTTTGAACTTTTAGCAACTTTTGAAAAGTGACTCAAACGCTAAAATGCACCCATTTCCCCTCTAAATGACACAAAAACGATTTTCTCTGTCACACACTCAGTCACAACACACGTGCCTGGCTGCAAAAGTGCATTGTGAGTGACGTCAGCAGCAGGCGCTCATCTCGTGCACAGGCAGCAGCAGGCCAGCCAAGCAGCACAACAACCTAGAGAGAGCTGGAGAGAGCTGCCTAGCGCACACATAATTATTTGAGTTAAGTTGCTTGTTCAATAAGATAGCATGTATCCCTTGTTATTAGCTTGTACCTATAATTGTTGATCAGTTAGGTAGCATGTTAACTAACTACCAATACACTGCTTAAAACTATAATTGTTCAGAATGTGTAGGTTTACTAGTTAATAAGAAAATGTAATTGTTCAATAAATGTGCAATTGTTCAATAATTCAAGGTGTTGTGTTTAAAAATAAAAATATCTGATCATATAAAATGTGTTGTGTTTATATTACTTTTACAAATAAAAATATGTGATGGTAAACAAACAAATCTAAACTAACAAATGTCAAATCATATTTGTTGCCGAGATGGCCAGTCTATTTGAGTAATGATTTTGTGTATTCTACGTAATGACGCAGTTTTACGTTATTAAGTAACGACATCAACAAGCAACTTTTAGCAACAAATCGACCTACCTCTAGCAACTTCCCCTGAAAATTAGTTGGCAACACTGCTTCCCTCCCTCTCTCCTTCGGTCCTCCTTCCTCATCCCTCTGGCAGTTTTCATATAACATATTGCCGTGACAAGGTGTCTCCTTGATGCTCCTCACATCACCATGCAACAATATCACTCGCTGCTTATTTTAGATAAGTGGGTCAGTCTGACACAATATGACACAACCTAACCCAACACACAATGTAACCCAACCCAACACACAATGTAACTAACCCAACACACAATGTAATCTAACCCAACACACAATGTAACCTAACCCAACACACAATGTAACCTAACCCAACACACAATGTAACCCAACACACAATGTAACCCAACCCAACACACAATGTAACCTAACCCACACACAATGTAACCTAACCCAACACACAATGTAACCCCAACAACAATGTAACCAACCCAACACACAATGTAACCTAACCCAACACACAATGTAACTCTAACCCAACACACAATGATAACCCAACACACAATGTAACCTAACACAACAACCTAACCCAACACACAATGTAACAACCCAACACACAATGTAACCTAACCCAACACACAATGTAACCTAACCCAACACACAATGTAACCTAACCCAACACACAATGTAATCTAACCCAACACACAATGTAACCTAACCCAACACACAATGTAACCTAACCCAACACACAATGTAATCTAACCCAACACACAATGTAACCTAACCCAACACACAATGTAACCTAACCCAACACACAATGTAACCTAACCCAACACACAATGTAATCTAACCCAACACACAATGTAACCTAACCCAACACACAATGTAACCTAACCCAACACACAATGTAACCTAACCCAACACACAATGTAATCTAACCCAACACACAATGTAACCCAACACAACACACAATGTAATCTAACCCAACACACAATGTAACCTAACCCAACACACAATGTAACCTAACCCAACACACAATGTAACCTAACCCAACACACAATGTAACCTAACCCAACACACAATGTAATCTAACCCAACACACAATGTAACCCAACCCAACACACAATGTAACCTAACCCAACACACAATGTAACCAACCCAACACACAATGTAATCTAACCCAACACACAATTTTAACCCAACCCAACACACAATGTAATCTAACCCAACACACAATGTACCCAACCCAACACACAATGTAATCTAACCCAACACACAATGTAACCCAACCAACACACACAATGTAACCTAACCCAACACACAATGTAACCTAACCCAACACACATGGTAACAACCCAACACACAATGTAACCTAACCCAACAACAATGAACCTAACCCAACACACAATGTAACCTAACCCAACACACAATGAACCTAACCCAACACACAATGTAACCTAACCCAACACACAATGTAATCTAACCCAACACACAATGTAACCCAACCCAACACACAATGTAATCTAACCCAACACACAATGTAACCCAACCCAACACACAATGTAACCTAACCCAACACACAATGTAACCTAACCCAACACACAATGTAACCTAACCCAACACACAATGTAACTTAACCCAACACACAAGGTAACCTAACCCAACACACAATGTAACCCAACACAACACACAATGTAATCTAACCCAACACACAATGTAACCCAACACAACACACAATGTAATCTAACCCAACACACAATGTAACCCAACACACAATGTAACCTAACCCAACACACAATGTAAACTAACCCAACACACAATGTAACCCAACACAACACACAATGTAATCTAACCCAACACACAATCTAACCCAACACACAATGTAACCCAACACACAATGTAACCTAACCCAACACACAATGTAACCTAACCCAACACACAATGGAACCTAACCCAACACACAATGTAACCCAACACAACACACTATGTAATCTAACCCAACACACAATGTAACCCAACACACAATGTAACCCAACACAACACACAATGTAACCCAACACACAATGTAACCCAACACACAATGTAACCTAACACAACACACAATGTAACCTAACCCAACACACAATGTAACCTAACACAATATGACACAACCTAACTCAACACACAATGTAACCTAACACAACACAATATTACACAAGATTTCCTCTGAAGTCGACTTGGTGAACTCTTGGTCAGAAAGTCTAGTTTTCCAACATGCCAATCAAGCTGACACTAAAAGCAGTAAGGGCGACATTCTTTTCCCCTTGCAAAAACAGCTGTGCTGTGAACTAACACACAGCAACATTCTAAATGGAAATTGTTAAAGAAAAGTTACATCATAAATTGTGCTGCAGATTATTATAATTCTATCATTATAATTTCACTCACAGCGCAGGTGTCTTTACGAGCAGAAAACGTTGCCCTAAATACAGCACAATAACAAGGTCACATCTTGAAGAAATTGTATTGATGGTCCCTGAGCCCTTACCAAGTGGATGTAGGGCACAAAGTAACCCAGCACAGCCGTAGCCACCCCGAACGCCCACACCCGGTAGGTGACGATGTGGAACACCTTCACGTTAAAGGCCTTCCGGACCTGGGTCAGGGCTCTGCTCCAGCGGCTGCCCCGGGCAGTGGCTCCTGTCTGGGGTATGGACCCGGCGGGGCCCACTGGTCCTGGTGGTCCCATTGAAGCTCCCTGGGGCAGCAGGGGTCTGAAGGTCAGGGCCAGCAGGGCTTGGACCTGTTATGTTTATAAGAACGAAAATAAACACTTGTTCAAAGTCGAATCTGACGTTTACTTCAACGAGTCGCATCATTCAAATGACAGAAATCAGTAAGATGTAAACAAACAGGCAGTGTAATGGATGATCATTGGACACATCACAACAGTACCAGCATGAAGAGGCTGAGGATCTGGAAGGTTCTGCTGAGGCCCAGTGGCTCCACCACCTTGGTGAGCAGCACCGGGAGGCCCATGGAGAACAGGCTGCTGCCCGCCGTCACCACACCGTTGGCCAGGCCCAGCCGCCGCTGGAAGTAGTGGCCCAGGATCACCAGGGAGGGCTGGAAGGCAAAGGACGAACCACAGCCAAACAGGATCCCATAGGTGAAATACCGTAGGCTGAGGGACCTTGGTGGGTAGGGGGTAGAGGTAAGTAAACACAGTGGAAAACTAATGCATGTCAATTCTAATGGGTGAAGAGGCAGGCGTTCTCACTACTGTGCTATGTTCCACACTACCCACACTAGCATAACTTAGCACCTAGAATATATATCCAATACATTACTTCCTTATAAGCAATAAGTTAGTGTCAATATTGGAACAGAGCCTGTGACACCCTAGCATGAATGTGTAATGCTCCGGTCACTGAGGGCAGGACGTGTAAAAGAAATGATAGGCAAAAAGAGTGGCAAAACATACAAAGAGAGATTGTGGAGGGTTCTAGAAGGGCTCTAGAATAGATGGGTTGTAATAGTGCTAGAAGGTGTGGAGTGTTCTAATGATTCTAGAATGTTTTGAGGGTTCTAAAAGGGCTCTAGAACAGAAGGTTCTCTTACGTTGCGAAGCCAGAGCTGAGGAGTCCGATGAAGGCCATGGTGGCCCCGCCCACAGCGGTCTTCCTGCAGCCGAAGTGATCAGTGAACATGGAGACCACCGGGGAACAGAAGAAAATCATGCCCATCGCCAGGGCCCCCACCCAGGCTGGAGGGAAGGAGGCGAGGGGGAGGGAGGTAGGGACAGGTCGGGAAGAGGGAGGGAGGGATGGATATTGAAGGTAGTGTGAGATGGGATGGAGGACAGGGAAAATAGTTACTATAATCCACACATTAATACATGGTTATTTTCCATATTGATACACTCAAAAGGTAACCTCAAATCTGTTTCCAAGCAACACGAGAGCTACCTAGATAAGAGGGTCATTAACTACAGTAAGGACAAGGTAGGATGAATCCCTTAATCTGTGTCCTTCAACATGGTACTTGTTACAGTACATGTCAATTATGTGTGTCGACTGATAACGGGTCTGTGCTGTCTGGACAGTCTGTCTAAAGTACAACATGTCTGCTACCTGTCTATGCCCTGTCTGCAACATATTTACAACCCGTGTACAACCTCTGTGCAACCTTTTACAACCAACCTGTTGACAACCTCCAGAAGTCAACATGTGTGTGCACTGCAGAAGAACACGTCAACCCGATTTAAACTGTTAACTTACACCTGGTGCTCATGCCCACAGCAGTAAGGTTAACCTACAGTGGCTTGCGAAAGTATTCACCCCCCTTGGCATTTTTCCTATTTTGTTGCCTTACAACTGGAATTAAAATTGATTTTTTGGGGGTTTGTATCATTTGCACAACATGCCTACCACTTTGAAGATGCAAAATATTTTTTGGTGTGAAACAAACAAGAAATAATACAAAAAAACTGAAAACTTGAGCATGCATAACTATTCACCCTTCCAAAGTCCACCTTTTACAGCAATTACAGCTGCAAGTCTCTTGGGGTATGTCTCTATAAGCTTGGCACATCTAGCCACTGGGATTTCTGCCAGTTCTTCAAGGCAAAACTGCTCCAGCTCCCTCAAGTTGGATGGGTTCCGCTGGTGTACAGCAATCTTTAAGTCATACCACAGATTCTCAATTGGATTGAAGTCTGGGCTTTGACTACGCCATTCCAAGACATTTAAATGTTTCCCCTTAAACCACTCGAGTGTTGTTTTAGCAGTATGCTTAGGGTCATTGTCCTGCTGATTACATTTTGGGTTGTTTTCCTCATCAATCTACACACAATACCCCATAATGACAAAGCAAAAACCGTTTTTTAAATTTATTTTTGCCAAAATATGACATTTACATAAGTATTCAGACCCTTTACTCAGTACTTTGTTGAAGCACCTTTGGCAGCGATTACAGCCTTGAGTCCTCTTGCGTATGACACTACAAGCTTGGCACATCTGTATTTAGGGAGTTTCTCCCATTCTTGCTGCCACCACCATGCTTCACCGTAGGGATGGTGCCAGGTCTCCTCCAGACGTGACGCTTGGCATTCAGGCCAAAGAGTTCAATCTTGGTTTCATCAGACCAGAGTTTTGGCAAACTCCAAGCGGGCTGTCATGTGCCTTTTACTGAGGAGTGGCTTCCATCTGGCCACTCTACCATAATGGCCTGATTGGTAGAGTGCTGCAGCGATGTTGTCCTTCTGGAAGGTTCTCCCATCTCCACAGAGGAACTCTGGAGCTCTGTCAGAGTGACCATCGGGTTCTTGGTCACCTCCCTGACCAAGGCCCTTCTACCCCGATTGCTCAGTTTGGCTGGGCGGCCAGCTCTAGGAAGAATCTTGGTGGTTCCAAACTTCTTCCATTTAAGAATGATGGAGGCCACTGTGTTCTTGGGGACCTTCAATGCTGCAGACGTTTTTTGGTACCCTTCCCCAGATCTGTGCCATCGACACAATCCTGTCTCGGACAATTCCTTTGACCTCATGGCTTGGTTTTTGCTCTGACATGCACTGTCAACTGTGGGACCTTATATAGACAGATGTGTGCCTTTCCAAATCATGTCCAATCAATTTAATTTTCCACAGGTGGACACCAATCAAGTTGTAGAAACATCTCAAGGATGATCAATGGAAACAAGATGCACCTGAGCTCAATTTCAAGTCTCATAGCAAAGGGTCTGAATCCTTATGTAAATAAGGTATCTGTTGTTGTTTTTTAATACATTTACAAAATTTCTAAAAACCTGTTTTCGCTTTGTCATTATGGGGTATTGTGTGTAGATTGATGAGGGAAAAAAGTAATGTAATCCATTTTAGGATAAGACTGTAAAGTAACAAAATGTGGAAAAGTGAAGTGGTCTGAATACTTTCCGAATGCACTGTATGTAACCTATTTAATAACAGCTGATCTAGTATAATATTAACATGCTGTATGACTGTGCCAGTAGGGTTAATCATACCTGAATAGAAACATGTTGTACCCACCTAAATTTAACCTGTACTGTATAATAATAACCAGGTTTTTAAAGCAACTTTGAGATTCTGTTTGTAATGAAAAGCACTATAAAATTATATATTATTATTATTATTATTTTTATTATTGGGAGGACGACAACGAAAGAGGGATCTGTTCATGTGAGATCTGAGCAGACCCCATATTTCCCGTGGCAGCCATTCAATGTTTCTTCTTCCCCGGCCAAAGCAGTAAGCAAACATGGCAAATGGATATTTGTCGATATGAGAGGCAATACGCTGGACCGCCTTACAGTAGAATATAGATCAGCTGCTAACTTGCTACAATGTAGGAAACATGGAGAATGTACATAGACTACAAAAAAACGTTTTATTAAGTTAGGTTAGGTTATGTTAGGTTAGGTTGTTAGGTTAGGTTGTTAGGTTAGGTTGTTTAGGTTAGGTGGTTAGGTTGGGTTGTTTAGGTTAGGTTGTTTAGGTTAGGTGGTTAGGTTAGGTTGTTTAGGTTAGGTTGTTTAGGTTAGGTTGTTTAGGTTAGGTTGTTTAGGTTAGGTTGTTTAGGTTAGGTTGTTTAGGTTAGGTTGTTAGGTTAGGTTGTTTAGGTTAGGTGGTTAGGTTGGGTTGTTTAGGTTAGGTGGTTAGGTTAGGTTGTTTAGGTTAGGTTGTTAGGTTAGGTTGTTTAGGTTAGGTTGTTTAGGTTAGGTTGTTTAGGTTAGGTTGTTAGGTTAGGTTGTTTAGGTTAGGTTGTTTAGGTTAGGTTGTTTACGTTAGGTTGTTAGGTTAGGTTGTTAGGTTGTTAGGTTAGGTTGTTAGGTTGTTAGGTTAGGTTGTTAGGTTAGGATGTTAGGTTGGTTGTTAGGTTAGGTTGTTAGGTTAGGTTGTTAGGTTGTTAGGTTAGGTTGTTAGGTTGTTAGGTTAGGTTAGGCCTCTCTGGGGTTTATTGATATAGAAGAGAAGAAGAAAGAGACTATTATTCATCGAACATGTTTTATATACAACATTATGTTTTACAGTAAAACTTCCAGTTAGTTGGTGTTCGGTTTTAAGACAAAATGATAACTGTAACTCACATCAGCCAAAAGGAAGCAAACCACGCAGAACGGACCAGGGGAGGAATAAAGACAGAATGCGTCGGCCCTGGTCAAAAGTAGTTCACTATCTAGGGAATAGGTTACCATTTCAGAGGCAGCCACAGAAAGCATATAGTAGAAACCCTTGATGCTTGACCAACTCCACACCCCTTCATTCCATCCACCCACTGAGCCCTATAATCTTCTCAACATTTCCACCCCTCCACCTTCCACCCCTCCACCTTCCACCCCTCCACCTTCCACCCCTCCATCTCATCTCCTCATCCCTCTATACCTCCATCTCTCTCTCCCCTCATCCCCCACGTCTCTCCCAGCAGCCCAGGGTCTTAATAAAGCAGCCAGAGTGCACTCATAAATAATTAGGTCTGAACCCTTCAAAAGGAAAGAGAGAGCGAGGGAGAAGGAGAGGGGAAAAAAGAAAAGAGAGAGAAACACATGCAGAGGAGGGAGAGAAACATGCTTCTTTCTAGGAGCATGATCCAGGAGCAGTGACAGACACATAGTGACAGGCTCGCAGAAAGAGAAGAAACCCCTCTCCCTCTCTCCCTTTCTCTCCTTCCCTCCTCTCGGGCCCCAGGCTGCATGATTGTTCCTCAGATGCCAGGAGGAGGCTGTTAGCTACTTAAAGAGACAGTGACCACACTTACTGTGTGAGCTCACTATTCTCCCTGAAATCTCCCTAACCTGTGAAATCAACTTTATTTTTACATTAAGCTCATTAAATTACTTCACCAATCAGTGTGGATAGAGCAGGCAAGCTAGTTGTTTACATACATGATGGACAGACAAGTGTAGCCTATGGCGCAAGATGCGACTGAAATTTTGCGGGTGGGGAGAGATCAAGAGAGGGTTGAGGAGGAGGCTTGAAGTGCTGGGCATCTTGTTATGACATGCATTATCTGAATTAGGTCCACAGAATTATAACTAGGATGAGCAGCTTCTATGGAGGAACTTTTAATGTCCTTTGAGCTAGCTAGCTAACAAGCTTGAGTGTGCAGAGCGGCACCAGAATGAAAAAGAGGTCTTACCTTTTTGTAGTTAATAAATCCAATGTGAAACGTGATAACTAGGAATATAGTATCCTTAACTAGCATTGAAAAAGTTAATCCATTCTTCTCTAGCTAATTAAAAATCTCTCTCCCCATCTTCTGAATCACGCTTGTAACGTCAGTACAGTAGCCTATGCTTCGGAGGGGAGAGGGGCACGGAGCCTAAACACGAACACACACTGGCAAAGATTTTAAGCTTGCAGGCAGACACTGGAATAGGTTTCTGAGTGACAGAGTGAGGGTTTTGCATAGGCGCTTTTTTTGTTTTGTGGGACTAGAAAAAAATGGCTGAAACGTATAACAACGTTATTAACTGGTTCCCATACTTTTAAAATAACGATTCTGTTCCGGAACAGTATGGGTCACTTTCGTTCCTGGTCCCGTTTCGTTATCTTTTAGGTTTCAGTTCTGTTCCCTGAACTGGTTCCAACCCCTGGATAACATCAAAAAAACGTTTTCTTTTTTTTATGAAATATCCTTTGAATGTTCTCCTAACATTAACTAAAATGTTATATACAACATCTGTAACAACCACTACTGAACATTCCCATAAGGTTCTTATTAGATTTCCAGGTAATGTAATAACAAAATGTGTTCTGGGAATGTTCTTGCAACATCAGACAAATGTTTCATACAAACATTTTATAATTATCAGCAAAACTGGACAATTTATGTGTTATTTGAGCTTTTTGGGCAACCTAATGAATGTTCTGGGAACGTTCACAGAACCTATTTTTGTTTGCTGGGTATACACACTAATGTATTTACTGTATGCATGAGTAGACTATATGCACAGTTTCACACTATAATGAGCTTTTGAAAGAAGTTGTTCAATGGGTCTAAATACACTATGAGGAGTGAAACTACCTTGCAGCTTCTGTGCACAATTAAGTGGCCTAAAGTACATACACAGACAAACTGTTGAGGATTGGGCAAGTATTTGATTGGGTCTAAAATGCGTTGGAGGGGGAGGCAGTGGACTGGACAAAGGGCCCTGATCCGATTGGAACATGCCACATTTTTCCTTAAACTGCAAGTTGTTAGGATTTATACTGTAGCTGGCCACTGTTCTAGTCCAGAGAGACTACAGAGAGGGTGAAGTTTCGGAACAAGTTCATTACTCATGGGTAAATGATCATAGGCATGGTAAAGATAATGTATTGTCTTACAAAGTGCGTAGTCTTGTCCGAGCCAAAACTAGCCATAAGGCAGGAGCCTGTTTCGCTAACATGAGGCAGCTTGATGTATAACTAAACCCCCTGTAAGGACGCTAGTCTATCGTACAGTACTGTAATAACAGTATCTTGTAAAATAATGGAAACAAATGACAGCTATACATCAAAAACGGAGATCTGAAATCAAATCTCCTTTTAGTGGATTATGTTTGTCAGGTCCCAGAGAACAAATAAATCATTAACATAACCTCATGATCTAAATGGGCACAGAGTGGAATATTTCTATGGCTTATAAGGATGGGAGAGAGACAGCATACAGATACCATTGAATAGACTTCTTTCTGAAATTATGGACAAATTGCCAATTTTAGGGATAGTCCCACTACTGTATTCTACTCATATTTAACTGACCATAATACTGTACACAGGGATGTTATGTACAAACTAGTGTCGATATTTCAAGCATCAAGTCTTTAAATCCTGTAAATGCGTTTCCCTCAGTCTGTAAGCCAGATGCATATTTCTATTTCAGGGCAAATAAAATGTAGTAAAATGCACTAAACCAGAAGGTCCAGACAGATGGAGTAAGAGGATTCTTGTTTGTTGTGCTGTAAATGAATGGCGCCAGACAGTCATGTCTGCTCTCTATTCATGTTTCAGGCCATAGGGCATCTGGAGGGCATCAACTCCCCAAATATAGCCAACATAAAATACATTTCCGGTGGTTTGGAATGAAGACATAAGTGCTGACAGTAAATAGCCCTTATGAGCATGGCCATAACAGTTATTTTAGACTCCAGAAAGCTACAATAAAAGGACACACACCCCCACAATAAATCACTGACTGTCGCTCTCTATTTCACTGCAATCCATAGCCATTCCAAGCCTTATGGGTCACAAGGCCTAAGTCTGTATCTCTTTCAGCAATTCCCTGGCCTGGGATCATTCACTCCATACTGTATGTCCATCACCCACTCCATATCTTTCCTCCCCTCACTCCTAGATTGATACCCTGTTCGAAAATGCATCAGTTTTCCTTCCTTCTCTCCTTCAGGTAATTAATCACTGATCAGTATGCAATTTGATAAGTGAAACCAAAGTTTCTACCATTCTGACAACACTCTCAGATTTACAGTGGTTACGTCCCAAACTGAACTCTATTTCCTATTCAGTGCACTACTTATGACCAGAACCCTATTAGCCCTGGTCTAAAGTAGTGCATCATAAAGGCTATAGGGGGCCATTTGGGATGCAGATTGATCTTCATTGTCATGAATCTTGCCCTGGAGGCTTTTTGGTCTTAATTTAAGGTTAGGGTTAGCAGTGTGGTTAAGGTTCAGTTTAAAATCTGATTTTATGACATTGTGGCTGTGCCAGCTAGTGACCACTCTGCAGAGCTGCCTCCAGGGCAAGATTCATGACAATAAATGCCAACCTGCATTTGGGACACAGACAGTGTTAACTTCAAGGAACTGAATGTTCCCTCACTCCTTCCACCCCTCGTTCTCTTTTGTTATGTCCCTCCCTCACTATTTCCACCCCTCTTTCCACTACTTTAAGTCCCTCACTCCCTTCTTTCACTTCACCGTGATACCTCCAAAACTCGCTCCTCAGGCAGCGAGTTGATAAGGATTCACCTCTCGCCCATCTGGTTCAGATCATGAAACTATTGATTTGATTAAAGACATAAAAGGAGGATTTCCTCCATCTTGATATGTGGATCCTTCTACACACTTAGCCCAATGGTGTTGATACCCCCAGATAATCTCAGGCCATAATTTGTACCTGTGTAATTACATAGTAATAATCTAAACATGTCATGATGTCTGTTTGGTAGAGATTCGGACTCTTTGATCAAAACAAGCACCACTGGGCAATGATTGGTACCCGATTTCCCTCCTCATCGATCTTATTGGGAGAACTAGTGTGTCTTACTGTGGATATGGTTTTGACTGGCCCTGGGATCTCACTGGCCAATGGGCATTGATTACACAGAGTTCGCATCAATGTAAATTCTACTTCAGGTCTCACTCTGGAGAGGTATTTGGAGTGGGTACAGGCCTGGGCACTGCACTCAGGGTGGGCTCAGCTGAGAGATGTGATTCCGTGCCAGGCGGTCTATAACCCCTTTGCACCGTACCGTTTCCCTGGGCGAGCTAGTCGAGCTGGGAGATCTGACTACAGCTCACTAATCTAATCCCTTTTGATATGAGAACAGTGGATGCCTTTTTCAAGATTAGAAATCAGGATCCTGGATGGACCTAAACATTAAAAAATCTTAACGATGGAAAAATAAGAGAGGGAGAGGTCTTGACACTCGTCATCCGATTAAGCTGGGCCTGTATACACTAAGAGTTTTCCCTTATAATATAGATCATCCCTGGCCTGCATCAGGACCTGTATACACTAAGGGTTTTCCCTTATACTGTAGATCATAATGCATTAGATCACATGGACAGGATGGGACCTGATCCTAGATCAGTACGCCTACTCTGAGATGCTTTGTGAGTACGTACGGCCCTGATGCGGTGAGGCAAAAGAGCTGTGTGTGTGTGTGTGTGTCTATGTTATAAAATAAAAGCCTGATAAATGCTAAACAGATTGGGGGTGAAGATTAAGGACACAACATAACAGAGGGCTTTGGTAAAACTGACATGCAACCAGAGGGCTTATTTTAGTGGTACACACTAGTGCCTTTGTCACGTGGAAAATACATTAACAACATAAGAGGCGAACATAAGGATGGTATGTTATCCAGCGGTATGACAGAATTAGAGCCGTGACCAGAAAGTTAATGCAAGGAAACTCTGGTGCTATATGGCCTAGGTCTATGTATAGTCTATACATTGACTTGAAGTAGGCTGAAGATTCTTCAGACAGATGATGATGAGACTGAAGTAGTAGCCTAAATTCTCTGACACATCAGAGGAGCAAATATGGATATGATCAATAATCAAAAATGTCACTAATGTTTTACTTCAATATCGTCTTGAGACAATGCTGAGCATTCTTCTAGTTCTGACCATGTTTATTTGACCCTTCTCGCTTACCTTCGACAGTAAGTCAGCATCAGTAGGCTAACTTTAACAGGTGCAACAGTTACAGGACAGACTCACCTACTTTAAACTGCGACGTTTTGTCATTGGGGTCTGCGTGGTCGTTCACTAGCATCATGTGGAGGATACCGAAGGAGTTCTGTATCCCGAAGATGGATCCATTACACCAGGTAGCAGCGAAAACAACTAACCAGCCGAACCCGCCCTCGGGTGGGACGAACCCGGGGCTCTGCCCTGGCATCGGTGCGGGGGACTGAGACTGGGAATCCGGAGACACACCGGGTTTACTATCGAGACATCCAGCCTCGATTAGCTGGATAGTGCTGTCCTCATGTGGGATCTTGCATTCGCTATCTCCCAGGTCCTGGCCCTTGTCCTCCTTCTGTGCTTGCTGGTTCTCCTCCTGGTCTTGGGGAGAACCACCTTTCTGCTCCATTTCAGAGTCTGCAGTAGCCTCATTACAGTGTTCTGTCGGCGGCTCGCCGCTCGATGCTTCCTCCTCCGTCTGATTGTCTCCTATCCCGTTGACCCCCATCTTATCCTGTCCAGTAGAGGGGTTACTGCTGTGTTCTGGGTGCATCGCTCATGCATCAGATAGCTACAGTAGCCTATTGATTGACAATGATTGTCTATAAAAAATTAAAATAAAGTAGGTTTCTTTCTGCTCTTCTTTGTAGACAAAGTGAAGTCACAGCACCAACTTCAGTATCCGAAGTGCCGCTATAAAATCGGTTGTATAGTGAAAGGACAGGCAAGTCTTATTTATCATGGTATATATCAGATGTCCCCGTAGCCTATTTCCAGGGGAAATGATGACGCCAGAAAATATTTCACTTTTGCTTTCCTGCTCCGTGCAAAATGTAAATCAACCTGTGAAAACGTCTGCTGCTCGCCAACCTCAACTCAATCTCGTCCTCGGGTTGCACACAGTCTCCACTCTCCACATCGTTTAGCCTAATCTGTAAACAAATGAGTGTCGGCTCCTCCTCTCTCATTTGTTTAACGTTATATTGGAATATGTGGATCTCTCGGCCGGGGGCTTTCAGTACCACGGTGTCAACACAGAAAACAACCTTCATTCAACAAGTTTGCCCCCGCCTCCAAGACCTCGTCACCAATGGACGAGCTCAAGGACGGTTTAAAATTCCTACTACACGAGATTACGAAAAGACTCCGATGTTGCCCCACGGCTTCTGCCGTCTCTGACAAACACTACTCGAACTACTTTGGAAAGTGCAGCTGCAACTCAGTGAATGACGTTGATGGAGTGGGCCATCATTCTCCACCAAAATATAGCATCTCTGGTCTATTGTTACAATGTTGCAATTGTAGAAGGCTACAGTTTCTCGCGGAAAAGTGTCAATGTAATAATTTTTCGGCGCAACTTTGTATCCGGTGTATCGCAGCTGATTTAATTTCACTATGCCATGATGCAGCCTAATATTTTATCAGAAAATATGCACAGTTTACATCCCATCCCATACAAAGGCGTTTTAGACCAGGATAAAATACCGTTAAAACGTGCTATTTACATCTAATGGTGAATAACTGTGACTTGTAAAGCAAGCCTCTTATATATTTGCCTTTACACAGGCTGTTCCTGTCCAATTTCTTGCCGCAACGGTTGTGTTGGTATGACAGTCGGTGGATCCGGGTTCGAATCCCGGTCGGGTTGGTTTCGTTGACTCTCCCCTTAAAGGGGGCAATCAGCAGTTGTTTTATCCATTTTTGGACTTCATTTAATTATAAGTACCCAATATTCTTCAAGAATATAACTTATAAATGCCTCATGAGCTTAGTTCATACCCCGCCAGAACCCAAAATATAAGCTTGTTTTACAAAGTGTGTAAATGTAAACAAACATTATATAACCTCAAAACATGGTTAAAATGAAACTATCATTTTGATATCATGTCCTTGCATCCATAGCTCTCTATGAATTTGAGAGGTTACATTTCTCTAGCCCCATCCCTCAGCTTTTTACCCGAAACAGGTGCAGGGAGTCTGCTTTGTTATTGTTTCTACTGTTTATTGCCACTCTAAACTTCCCTAATTGACCAATTAACTCAGAGTCCATTGGAGAGGATCAGCTTGAGCAAAGTGAGGTGTAGAATCACTGATCTACAAATAATATTCCCTGCCAATTAATAGGCTTTGTGCGATTAAGATTAGTAGAGCCATGCCTCCCCACCAAACACTCACACACAACCAGACATACATATACACTCGCTATACACACATGTACATGCACTATACACATGTACACATGGATTCTGTGGCCTGAGGGCACACACTTAATATGTTGTGAAATCTATGAATGTATTGTAATGTTTTTAAAATGTATGACTGCCTTAATTTTGCTGGACCCCAGGAAGAGTAGCTGCTGCCTTGGCAGCAGCTAATGGGGATCCTTAATAAATACAAATACAATGATTGATTGATTGGAGACAGCTTGTGCCAATTAAATAACATTTCCTAGGATTTTCTACCTGCAGCAAACCTAGTGGATGATGCTGAAAACACCGGTAAAAAAATTACAATAATAACCAGCCAAAACAACTGGCCCTAATCATAGGCCACAGCTGTGATCGTGTACAACTGGCCCTAATCATAGACCACAGCTGTGATCGTGTACAACTGGCCCTAATCATAGGCCACAGCTGTGATCGTGTACAACTGGCCCTAATCATAGACCACAGCTGTGATCGTGTACAACTGGCCCTAATCATAGGCCACAGCTGTGATCGTGTACAACTGGCCCTAATCATAGAAAACAGCTGTGATCGTGTACAACTGGCCCTAATCATAGACCACAGCTGTGATCGTGTACAACTGGTCCTAATCATAGGCCACAGCTGTGATTGTGTACAACTGGCCCTAATTATAGACCACAGCTGTGATCGTGTACAACTGGCCCTAATCATAAGCCACAGGTGTGATCGTGTACAACTGGCCCTAATCATAGACCACAGCTGTGATTGTGTGCAATAGCTAACTTTCACCATTGGATGGGGCCAACATGCCACAGTTGACACACAGGATGTGTTTAGTTGACAGTGTTGTTAGGATTGATTGACCACTCTCATGTTGGGAGATGGAGAAACCGCTCTTTAGCCATATTACAATTCTTGGTCAGCTGTGATTGAATTGATGTAGGCCTAATTAGGTCAATGTCGAGGTAGAAACCAGCTAGTGTCTGACGTCCATGGGTAGCATCCCTATGGATGTCTTTGGAAAACATCCTAAGCCAATACCCAATAACATCCTGTCTGAATTGCTTTTGAATTGAATACCTCACCTGGCCTATCTCAGTGTATGGCATGATGTGATGTCATAGCTAAGCACTCTTTGTCTCTCCTGATCTTAAAGTCCCTCGGGGTAGATGCACTGATGGGTGGCTTTGTTTTATAATCATAGATCTCATAATTAGATCACTACATTATATGATTTATCTCTGTGGGAGCATCATCCTACTCCTTTATGAGGCCTATAAATAGATGATTGAGGAGTTTCTAGAACTTTCCCGGCGGTTCACACATGTAAGGGGTCAAAGGTCAGTGGACCCAGGAGAAGGTTGGTCCATGATTTCCTGTTGATTCTGGGATTCTTTAATTCCTCTGAGAGGTGGAGGCGGTTGGTCCAGGCTCAAGAACACAGAGGAATGACTGTGACTGGGGGCGGGTGGTCTCCCAGCAGAGAAAAGACTGAGACGTTATGTAACCATATGGGGGAAGTCTGGAGGCAGACATTTCATTTCAGCAGGGCTGAATGATGCATGCTGTCTGGATCAGACTGGATCAGACAGGAACTGACTGAGAAAGGGCGGGAGAGGGTGAGTGGGTGACAGAGGGGGTAAGTGGGAGAAAGAGGGGGTGAGTGGGAGATAAAAGGTGAGAAAGAGAGGGTGGGTGAGTGGGAAAGAGAGAGAGGGTGCGTGGGAGAGAGGGTGAGATGGAGGGAGACAGAGAGGGTGAGTGGGAAAGAGGGAGGTTAAGAAAGAGAGGGTGAGTGAGTTTGACAGGGTGAGAGTGAGAGAGGGTGAGAGAGGGGGGAGAGGGAGAGAAGCACAGAGGGGATCAAATGAGGGGGTGTTAAAAAGGAGGGGAAAGTTTGGTGAGAATGAAAGAAGACGCTGGTGTGGAGAGAGGGAGAGAGAGAGAGAGAGAGAGAGAGAGATAGAGAGACAGAGAGAGAGAGAGAGAGGTGCAGGTAATGTAAATAGTGTTCAGCATGCATGAACATGCAGCAGCCAGCGGGGGTGGGGTGGCGCTGGCGGAACCATTATCACACTGCTGTGACTCACATCACATTCTTTTCCCTCAGGGTTCTGAAAGTGATGCAGTTTGTTCTATATAATTCAATTAACTGGTTTATGCCGGTCAGTGGAACAAAAACAAGTCAATATTCCCTAGCTGTATTCCATAGCTGATGTCTGTGATCCTGGTGTGGTTTGCATTGGAAGCAAACCTCTTCAATCGAAAGGTGTTACCCTCATACCTGTAGTCATTGGCACACCGTGACGCACTGGGGAAAAAAACTTTCAGACAAAACAATATTTTGTGTCTCCTGAAGTGACATGCATGGTTTCATCTCAGGGTAGGTGACCAGACAGTAGCTATCAATGATCATCCCTGACAGTCTAGACTCCCTCATGGAAATGTACATGATGAATTATCCACTTAAAAGTCCATGTTGGCAATTCATCAATGTGGAAACATTTTTACATTTACATTTTAGTCATTTAGCAGACGCTCTTATCCAGAGCGACTTACAGGAGCAATTAGGGTTAAGTGCCTTGCTTAAGGGCACATCGACAGATTTTTCACCTAGTCGGCTCAGGGATTAGAACCAGCGACCTTTCGGTTACTGGCACAACGCTCTTACCCACTAAGCTACCTGCCGCCCTTGGACCCCAAATGGACTGAATAGGTGTTTATTGTTTTTAATAAAGTGTTCAAGGCCTGCTGCATTAGCAGTACTAACACGCACATACCCAGTGATCCCTACCTGTAGATATTGTCTGACCATGTCCCATGTTTCCATCTGGTTAGAACCAGACTAAAGTAGCAGTTAACAACAAAACAAACAAGAGGAAACGCTGAAGGGAAAGTGTGTCTATGTGTGTTGTCAGTGTTCTTCCATTCTTGTCAGAGATGTCATATTAGCATGATTTATGTGATGTCATGTTAGCATGATCTATGTGATGTCATGTTAGCATGATTTTTGTGATGTCATGTTAGTATGATCTATGTGATGTCATGTTAGAATGACTTATGTGATGTCATGTTAGCGTGATCTATGTGATGTCATGTTAGCATGATCTATGTGATGTCATGTTAGCAGGATTTATGTGATGCCATGTTAGCATGATCTATGTGATGTCATGTTAGCATGATTTTTGTGATGTCATGTTAGTATGATCTATGTGATGTCATGTTAGAATGACTTATGTGATGTCATGTTAGCGTGATCTATGTGATGTCATGTTAGCAGGATTTATGTGATGCCATGTTAGCATGATTTATGTGATGTCATGTTAGCATTATTTATGTGATGTCACGTTAGTATGATTTATGTGATGTCATGTTAGCATGATTTATGTCTTGAGATGTACAGTGCATTCGGAAAGTATTCAGACCCATTTACT